ATGACCACTAAAGAAGCAATTGCAGCTGGTAACATGGAACCAGATATGCTACTGAAGCTTCCAAACACCTATAGACTTCTATTAGAGGAACAGCATATCTCAGTTCCCTGATGGGACTGACAGAATCTATGTATGAGGCCAGTGTATGATGATCTAAGAGAAAATTGTGCATATGTATGTCTGGGTCAGGACAGGTCCAAAACAATTTTTTTAAAAGGCCCACACCCATCCTCAGATGGGTACTGAAAGATGAGGGGTCAAAAGACAAACATTTTAACAGCCTAGTCATGGAAGGAGACCTTAGAATATGAAGAGACATGGAGGTTGATCTTGCTATGAAGGGGAAGGGACCAGAGAAGTGGGATATGAATGGGGAAGATGAGGAAGAGACTTGTCTGGGAGTGAAATAAAGGAATAAATTTCATAGAGGCTTCATACATAGCATTCAGCTTCACCACTGGGAATTCTCTTCATTCCAAGGCCTTCCATGCATAAACTGCTTAATGCCCCCATATGAATGCCAGGTCACACACTTCCTACAGTGTCTAAGTGGAAGCACTCTGCATGAGTTTCCCACTCCTGAGGATCTGGTATATAGGTTCAACACAGATCTGCATAAGTTTAGCATAAGAGCTTAATATGCAGCCTATCCTCTTCCTCTCAACAAAAGGGGTAAATATACTTAATATTATCTCCAAGAAGAAACAGCCATTTCCATGCATTCAACCTTAAGGTAACTATCAGGGATCTCACAAATTTTCAGTCAACCCCATCAAGTAAGCCTCTTATATCTTCCTTTCAGCATATGTCTGAAAGGATATTGTACAAGATTGGGCCTGCTGCATTTCACCATCCACATTCCTTAGCCAATTACATCATGGTCTTACCCACCTAATTGTAAGAAAAGCCTTGCATGGAGGTGGGTGCAGGGGGCTGACAAAAAAACACAAGCAGTGTGGCTCCCTTCATTACAAGAACATAAAACATAGATCCACTATCAACCTTCAATTAGCCTTCAGAAAATTTTGAATCAAATAATTGGCTTGTGTTATGGTAAACACTTTCTCTGAATGCAAACATTGCATTATGCAAACATTGCATTATGTCATTTAAAAATTAATGTATACTTTTTTCTTAAAGGACAGATTTTGAATACACTTTACTTATTCTTGCAAATGCAGAATACAGGATGAATGTTAATGAGAGGTTAATTCAGCCCTAGGTTGAGGTCAAAATTAACACTTCACTGCTTTGACAGCAAACAACTCATACCATTTTTATTCTATGACCTACCAGTGAGTCTGTTGTTAACGTATAAAAGTAAGTTTTTATACTTTATTACTTCCGATTTTTACTGGGTACGACCAGGTATGTAATTCTTTTGGGTATGTAATATGGACATGTTACTCTTTTTAAGTATTTATACTTTGCATTTGTGAAAATTTTAGAAAGATTTTCCATTTCTCATTGAGAACTATTCTGATAATAGTAGACCACAATGAACATTTCACACATGATAGATGTAGTCTATCTGGGGGTATGTAGTGCAATGGGAACGGGGAGCAGTGGGTTGGATTGATGGAAAGGTGAAATAAGTTGAAGTTATTCAAAATGTTGACCTCAACATGCCCTGATTCCACTACAATTTGCCACTCTTCCAGAAAACCAGATTCAGCCAAATTTAAATTCAAGAGGGAGTGATCAATACAGCTTCCATAAAGAAAGAAAAAGTGTATTATCAGAAATTACTTGAGACAAAGGAAACCAAGCAAGAACAACAAAATAATAATAAAATATTTCAATATTTTAAATATAAAAATATTTTTCATCATTATTTTGTGATACACGATGAATGCATGATGAATGCAACACACACAAATACACAAAATGTATCACAGAATTATGGGCGTCACACACCATGAAATCGTACTCTGACTAAGAAACAACTTCACAAGACAACAGAAACTTCAGTCAAGAAGGTAGCAGTCAAGTTGGACAGTGCAAACATATTTTTCTGCAAGGAGCAACTAAAAGATCCAAATAAAAAGGAAAACTTCCATTCAACCCCCTACTCTTGAGCATAGACACAAGGCCTCTTCTCTGCAGATGTAGTACTGTTCACCCAAAGCAGTAGTTAGTACTCTTTTTCTGAAGAGTAACAATCACAGTTTTAACAAATGCTTCTTAAATTCTCAGGTTGCATTGAGCATAGACACAAGGCCTCTTCTCTGCAGATGTAGTACTGTTCACCCAAAGCAGTAGTTAGTACTCTTTTTCTGAAGAGTAACAATCACAGTTTTAACAAATGCTTCTTAAATTCTCAGGTTGCACTTTAAGATAAAGATCCCCAGGAATTCTGAAATCCAAGTTATGATGAACACACACTTAATTTCTCTTTGGACATGCCAAAGTCAAAATCACAGTTGACAGTAGATGAAAATATTGGCTGTTACTTCAAAATACATTCCAAGGAGATCAGTAAATTCCCACGTCTGTGACACATTCATAAGTTCCATTGAAACCCATGGAGAGTAAGGAAAAGTGATCCAAATAAAAAAATCAGCCTTAGTAGATTTGCCTCCCACCAAGCAGGAATCAAGAAGAGAGGACTGCCTTGATAATATCTCCATCTGTAAGTGGGAAAATAAACAAGGTTATTTTGCAGCTTTCATGCTTTCTAGAGTCAATCTTCCTTATACTTTCATCAAGGTCACCTGAATAGAAGAGAGAAGTGACTCCAAGAAGAAAAGGTTTGAGAATAGGATGTGGTGATAGCTCTGTCTTCCTTCAACAGAATTAAATGCAGGAGGGAGGATTGCCCTTGCA